TGCCTAAGATTCAAATTCTTCAGCTCCTGGCTCTAATTCTGTTGTGGTAAGCCATAATAACCTTTCTGTGTAGCGTCAAACGCGATACATTACTACATTATCGATCCACTTAACCCCTTGTAAATCGACCTAGCTTACGTTTGGGACCACAGAATCCACTGGAAAAGTTTTTCAGAAGTTCGTTCTGCAGTAACACTAGTTCTCTTCTGTTCCGCCCGGCTCCCAGTCCAGCGTCTAATAACTACAGTTACCCCATATATGTTATATAAAAGATTTATACTGCTTCATCTATCCTGCATCTGACAGTCTTCCGCTATGAGCCAATTCAGCCACATCTAAATTACTTCACAATGGTCTAACGAGAAAGGCGTACAAGCAAAAGGAGCAGCGATTATGATAAAAAACAAAACCTGTTCGGCTTCAATTTCTTCCCGTGTCCTTTTTCGTCTTTTCTTTTCCGTGAAAGCGCCATCGGAGGTAAAGCGCACCAAGGATATCGGCCTTTTATCTATGTCTATCTGTGGCTTGTTTTCAGAGTCCCGATTCTCGTTGTAGTACAAAGCTAGCGATTCTACGGGCTGCGAAAACGATTCACGGCCATGCTTTTTCCAACAGTTCTGATTCTCTGGCGCCTCTTCGCACTGCTCTTTTGGACTGTCATCGCCCTGATCCAAAATCGAAGATACGCTGTCGTCACTGTCAGATTCAGATGACGTTTTCGGGTTCCTTTGCTCGTCTCGTCTCTCGTTATTTCCAGTACCACAATGGGCTAAAAAACCTACACATAAATATCTGGTTCATCTAGAACAGCCATCAATGTAGGGCTGTTTGTAATATGTATAAAAAATTTTTTAAAAATTGCATCTAGATCTACATTTTTAAAGTAATCAGATTTTTAAATAAATTAAAATTGAAAAAAAGGGAAAAGAAAGTAAAGCAGTATAAATAAATGGACAGAAAATTTTTTGGGAAAAAAAAGAAATGTTTCGGTCCATAAATTTAAAATTTATATTAAAATGCATGGTCTGGATCTCCATCTATGAAGTCGGCAATTTTTCGACTAACTACGATTCTGTGCTTTTCATATTCGAAACAATCCATACATTTGAGTTAGCTGAGTTAGTGGGTCAAACCAGTGAATTCACTCATTGTTTTATAAATGAATGAACCCACTGAATTCTTTGCATTATTATCGAACGAATCAAAAGGAAATAAGCACTTCTGTTATTATCGTTGGTTTTTTACTATGCGTTTTGTGCTGTGTAACAGCAGCACAAAATGCATATTGTCACGGGGTTGTCTGTGTTTGTGTGTGTGTGTGTGTGTGTGTGTGTCCGCAGCAACTTGCCCGCAACTTTCAACTCAAGAATCACAAAAGCTAGGAAGCTGGAAATTTAGGGGAACGTTCCTACCCATGTGTGACCCCGTAAATTTAAATTCAGCCTCCCCGTACCTGCGGGTAACACGTACGGCCCCGTGAAAGTTTTTTACGGACAAATTAATATCTCGGGAATCACGAAGTCTAGGAGGCTGAAATTTTACGGCAATGACCCCTTGCCCAAGCTCAACCTTGCCTATTCAAATTCAGCGTTCCCGCGCTCTTAAGCATCACCTACGGCCTCGTGAAAATTTCGGCGGGTAAACTATTAACTCGGGAGTCACGAAAAGACATTCACCCTTCAAG